TTAGTAGCCTTTGGCAACTTTTTTTCCCATTGGTTCAGAAGAATATGAGATAAGAGAATTTCACTAGGATATCACAGACCTGAATTCTAGTCATGATTCTATCACTCTAGCTGTGTGACCTTAAACAAGTCACTTTACCTTCTTAGGCCTGGTTCATCTATAAAATAAGGCTGAGTTTAAGATAGCTAAGGTCTTTTCCAACTCTTTGAATTATAGTTTCAGCTAGCATTTATCTCTTAAGTCAAACCTACTGTTTAAAAATTGCCCAAGACTACACTTTGGTGTCTGTTTGCATAGGGACTGTATCAGTTATATATTGCTACATGACAAACTACTCCAATACTTAGTGGCTTAATATTGCACCCATATATTTGCTCATGATCCTATGGTCTGTCAATCTGGGCAGAGCTCAACTGGGTGATACTTCTGCTGGTTTCATCTCGGGTCACTAATGTGCAGTTATCTGGAGATTGACTGGGCTGAATGGTGTAACTCATACCTCTGATGGCTGGTGTTGGCTGTTATCTGGGCCTTCCTCTTCACATGGTGTTGGGGTCTTGCCCCATACTGCACAGGTGTTTATTAAGCCTCTATTTGAATCAGATTTGCTGATGTCCCATTGGCAAAAGCAGATGACATGGCCAAACCCAGAGCTAGTGCTGGAGGGGACCACATAATGGCATAGACCAAGGAAGTATGATTTATTGGAGACCATTAATATACCATACTACCACAGAGTCCAAAATGTATCCACCCAAACCCCATACTCTAAGGCATTGAAGTGTTACCGTTGACTGAATTGCTGTTGTTGACTGTCTGTCAGAATTTGTTCAGTCTTCTGGTCCTATTTCATCTTGTATAAGCAGTCACACTTGTTACTACTTTTATCTAGTCTTTCAGGCATTTCTACTAGTGTCCAAGTAAGAGCAGGGTTACCAAGATTTTATCAGTTGGGATCTATATCAGGATGAAATGTCTAAGAATATGTCGTTTCTAAAAATGGGGCTCAACTATAACACCGTATTTACAGATGGCAAGAAAATGCTGCTTAGGAGTGGTGCTGGAAAGCTAAGAATAGTTCCCACAGTTCCTTCATTTCTTTTTGTGTTTCCTCTCCTTGTCTACTTTTAAGGAACTAATACAGCATCTGGTGTATATATGTGTGTATATGTTTGGTCTAAGCTCTTTCTGCCTGAATTTGTCAGGACAGTGGGGAAGTCAAATAGCACCTTTAAATAATTTGTTGGGTAGTTCATTCTTATGTGATTTTTTTTGAGGTTGGTGATTTCATGGCTAGTGAAGTAATGAGTTAACTTTGTTTAAAATAGTAAACACTAAACTAAAACAATCTTTGGGACCGTTAGAGGCACAGAATAGGTTTTAAGATCATTAGAGCTGAAAAAGTGTAAAACAGGGGAGGTAAATGAGATGTAGAGTTTAACTAAATCTGCCAACATCACACAGCTAAGAAGTAACAGAATTGACACTAGTCTGCGGAATTATTTTCTGTGTTGGAAGGAACTTGGACAGGCATACCTTGGTTTCGAAATCTGGCTTCAGCACTTGTTAGTGGTCAGGTTTTAAATATCATTCAACTTTCCTCTTCTCTAAAATGGTGATTATACCCTCTACCCCCAAGATGGTTATGAAGATTAAATAGAAAATAGATAAGAATGTCTGCTACCTGGTAGACATTCAGTGCATGCTGGCTTTTCTTTCAGTTCAGTGCTCTTTCCTCTGTATCAGGCTCCCTACCTTTTACCGTTAATCTCTGCCGTCTAACCAGTTTAACTGAGGATAGCTCAAAACAACAAAGCAGAGTGATGGGGGATTTTTGGGTCTTTGTTGTGTTTCAGAAACTTGCCCCTTGTGTCAGTGTCCCTCTCTTCTCCCTCCTCTCCATTCCCTAACCCTTCACCCTCCCACCTCTTTCTCTCATTCATTCATTCATTGATTCTCTCTCTTTCTCCTTCCCTCCCCTGCCCTCCCCCCTCTATCCTGTTTGATTCCGTAGGACTGATGACATATATTTCTTTTTCATATGTTATATTGCCTAATAAAGTGCTGAATATGTTGTAGGTATCCTAATACCTAATGACTTCAAATATTTTTCTTTATTTTCCTCAGTTGTTCTTACATAACAGTTTCTCTGACTTCTTGGGATCATGTGCTCTTCCCTGCTTCTTCAGGCTCACTGGTCTCATGCAACTAAACCTTTACATTTCAGAAACTGGCATGTCAAAAAGGAACTTGATAAGAATAAGAACTAACAAGCAAAATTGCAGATTTTTCTCAACTTACGAATGGCTTATTTATGCAGCTAGTCAGAGAAGGGTTTCCCTCTCAGAAGACAAGAACCATTCGACTCTTTCATGACAATGTGTACCATGGATATGCAAGATGAGAGCTAGGAGGAAGAGGGTACTTGCTTCTGGGATTTTTAATTTGTGAACTAAGAGAGGATTCTCTTTTGGGAAGGCACCTGTGACAGAGAAGATGTATTTCCAGTGATCTGAGTTGTGAGTCATAAATGGAACAGGTAGATTCCTACTCTAGTTTTTAGAAGTTACTGGTTAAATAGACTTCAGTTAGGGGAGTCTGGAAATCAAATCACTGTTTAAAATATAGTGCTATTGTGATTATTTGTTGAATGAATAAATGAATCAATCAAACCAGTAAACTTCCAAATAAACTTTTTAAAAAGCTCTGTTTTTAAGTTGAGGGCTTGCTTTAATGATGTTTGTATATATTGTACATACACATGTATGTACATCTACATACATAAATTATGTATAAAACTAAAAATCCTGGAAATTGTAGAATAGGGGTCTTAACTAGGAGTCTTCCAGTGAGTCTCTGGGTGGTTGGTAAACTCTCTTAAAATTAGATGCCATAACATCTGTGTCTTTTTCTGGAGAAAGGACACAAAAGATACATAGATACTAAGATTCTTAAAGGGGGAGGTGAGTGGTTCTCAAAATGTAAGGTCTTCAGCTATAGGATGTATAGACCTATTTCTGTGTGTATGTGTATATATGTGTATTAAGCTGTTATACATGGCCTTCATGTTTATATCTGGTATGGAATCAATGGTAAGTGGAACCACTTGATAGAATTGTGATAATCATAATCATTTGTGACATTCAATATTGAATACTTTGTCATAATTCTGTATTCTAAGCCATTCCTTGTATTATATTGATTTGCCAGGGATTTGATATAATCTGTAGATAAAATATATCAAGAGATTTGTGTGATTTGGCTCTTAACCTAAACTCCTTCAGCAGTATAAAGAATATTTGGGTGTTCCAGTGAGTACTTGAATTCCCTACTTGGCTTTTAATCTGTATATTCAGTACTGGAAGAAGTTCTGTTTTTCCATCAACTTGCGTCTTAAATTTAACCAAAAAAAGGCCGAAATGTGTTATTTTCCTAGTGCCGTTTCCTGTAAGATTTGAATGAATTATAACTGCTATATATTCATAGGAAGATTTTGGTCTTCACATTAGGTTTCATCCAATGTATTTAAAAGAAAGTTGTAAAGATTCATGCTTGTGGTAAGGACCAATTTGTTAAAGTTTTACTTGTTTTAAACTTCATGTGTTCATAGACACAGTTGATGAATTTTTGATAGTTCTCCTTCGAGTTAGATATTAATATACGGTTCCCACTGTAATGAAAATATATGTAGCTGTGTATTTTAATATTTTCCTTAAAATTACACATGTATAGGTAGTTTTGTAAATATAAAGATAGTTTCTTTATAATTTAAGTACCAAGGCATGAATAGGAAGATAAGCTTATCAGAAATTTTTAATATTGTTAGATTTTTTTAATAAGAGCTTTATTGAGGTATAATTTACATACCATAAAATTCACTCTTATAAAGTGTACAATGCAGTGGTTTTTAGTTTATTTACATGTGCAACCATCACCACTATCTAATTCCAGAATAAAATTTTGAAGATAATTTTTCTGTGATCGTTTTCTGGTCATACCTTTCCTTTCCATTTGATATACAAAAACTGACATATCTTGACAGAAAAATTTTTTCCTGTTTTCTAAAAGATTTCAAATGTTGAACTGCAAGCCCAAGACAGGTCATAAGTGAAAAGGTATGAAGTATAATTAGCGCACTTAAAATGAAAATTCTTATATAAGAAAGAGAACTGTTTTTGACTTCTGTATATATCCTTTGTTGAAGTTTTCATGTAGAATCTTGGAATAAATTGTCAGTCATATGCAAAACTACGTCTACTTCTTAAAACTTGAATTGAGGAAGGAAATGCTTTGTACCAACATGGCAAATACTTCATTATAATAAGAACGTTTCTGCTTCTTCCTCTCATACTGCTTTGTACATTGTACTGTAGCTTCTCTGAGAGGTAGAAACTCTTTAGGGAACTGCCTTGATTTTTTTTTGTATGCGTTAAAGCAACATGAGCAGTGTTTACGATGTTTTGATAAAAGCAAATTTTTACTAAAATTATTGTTTTAATCTCCCATAATTTTTAAGTCAGTTTTCAATATTGTTAGTAATGTATGATATTGTTTTTCTTTTTCTCTTAATTGAAACCTATAAACTCTTAATAAATACGTATATGTCTGCTCAGACAGAACATATGGTTTACTCATAGTGTTAAAGAATTGGAAGGGTTAGTTTGCATTATCATTGTACATTGCTTTTTATACTGAATGTACTCTGGGTGAAAACGTGAATTTTGAATAAGTACTTAAAAAATGCACTTGCAGGTAAATACAACTGAGTTTTTGTCTATTCCTCTGATTCAAAATGACCCAGAGAAGGATCTGCCAAGGGGTATGAGGAATGAGGCACTTTTTCGTTCTTCAGAATATAGAAAAATGCTTTATAAAAGTGGATTTCTTGATGTCAATATGTACAGATTATTTTAAAATATTTTCTACAAAATATTACATACAACAATGCTAATGATTACACAGAATATGTTTCCTCATATTGTTTTACTTATTTCCTGTAGGAAAAGTAGCCATCAAAAAAGAAGACTTGTGTAACCACAGTGGCAAAGAAACTTGGTTTTCACTACAGCCTGTGGACTCCAATTCAGAGGTTCAGGTAAATATTAAGGCTCAAGTGATAGAAGAGATTGTCACACACAGAAAATGAGTGAAAAGCAAACTAATTATACTAGTTCGTATAGATAAAGCTTATACGTTTTTTAAAATTCTGGCACCAAATATTGTAGACCTTTGGTTATTATATAAGTGTAAAGAAATATCTCTGCCACATGAATTCAACAATAATGTATGTTTGTGTGTGTATGAGTTTGGAGACGTTGTATGAGGGGGGGGACATTTTCTTCCTGACTTAGTTCTTGCCTTTGAGTCACAGTAAAATTACTGATTTTTTTTAGAGAGGGAAAAAATTTTAAAAGAAAGGATATGTTCTATTAACTGTGACTTTGAGGAGAATCCCTAGAAGTCTGTGATTTCATCTATTCTGATCAGGATACTCTGTTTACTGTCTAATAAACCAGACTTGGGGAAACTGTTATTCATTCAAACCATGCCTGAGCCCACCATGCAGAGCCTTCGTTCCCACACCCACCCTTCCTGTTGTTCACCTTTCTTTTTATTTGAAAGGCTATCATTATTCTTTTTAAAGCTCTTCTTTTCTCTTGCCAAAATAAGAGGGCTTACTGATTCTAATATGTGAATAAAGACTTATATTCAGCCATGTAGCTTAACTTTGTATTTATTTCTGAAAAGTCTGAACTGCTCTTAGAAATTATTTCTACGTAAAAGGAATCCTTTTTTTGTAACTCTATTTATTTTTAAAATATGGTAAAGATTGTGAAACCGTTTCCCGAGGGCATAACTGCAAGCAGAATTGTTCCTTTCTAAAAGAAATTATAATTTGCCACTGTGACTCAAACAGAATTTTGAGACAAGAAAAAAGTGCTGCACACATTCTCACAGATATTTGCAAACAAAGTGCCTGTGTGTCTATTTCCTCATAACCTCTCAAGCATTCTCTTTGATTAAATTCTCAAAAAATTATTTGTATACTAAAACACCTTCTTAAATACAAAATATAATTGAAACTTTTCCTGTTTTATCCACTCTACCCCATTTTAATGTTCTTCTCTTTCCGTGTAATAACTGTTATTCAGATCCCAGTTAGACACTTTGGTAAATGATCCAGGTAAGAGGCAAGGTGATGAAGCAGAAAGGGTTTTAAACTGGAAGTCAGAAAATTTAGGCCCTAATTTTAATATGGGGTTATTTTACTGATCTTGAATTTTATTTCTATAAAATGGGAGTAAAAGTTGCCATGTTTGACTCACATGGTCATGAGAATTAAGTGGAATACCTCTGAGAATACTTTGAAAGCTGTTAATTGCTATACAACTGTAAAATACTATGTGTTTACCAACAGTCGTGTGGCCATTTCCCTGATATGCCTTTACCAAAAGGCAGATACGAAAGTTTTAGATTAAAGTACCAGTTTTTCTTTTTAATAGTTTTGACAAAAAGCAAGATAAGACAAGGCTTTGAGAATTTGGTCTAAAATGAAATTTGGGGATTATTTTAAAGTGTGGTTTGTTATAGTCTATCCTTTTTCTTATAATCAGTGTAAATTTGCTAGAGGATCTAAAGGCCCTAGCTCTCAAAAAATAGAAATCTGTGTAGAATGCTCTTTATATAAGTCTTGGAGATGGTATTAGAGATGAGTACTGGGTAATAGGCTTTTATTTGATTATATATTAAACTCATTTCTGAAACGTGAAAATTCTGGAAGCAGCATTTACCAGTTAGGTATAATGTCGACATTTTTTATCTGCTGTGAGTTATTTTCATGACCATGAATTATTAACCTTTACAGCTCTTTTGTCTTAAGTGATACTTGATTAGTAAGATCTACTCACTATTTAAAATAAACTTTAGAGGATTTTATTATTTTAGTGGAGGTAGGAGGGATGTATAACACTTTTCATGTTAATATGGTACCACTGGGAATATTGTTGTTTGGCCCCAACACTGATCTAGAAATACTAAATTAACTTTCTGAGTCTAGAAAAGATTGAAAAGCAGTGCATGATTTATACAAATTCTGCTTTGTTAATTAATTTGTTCACTTGCATACATTTTATAAAACTTTACAAAAATATCATGGAAAATAAGAGCAGTTGATGGAGCCATAGGAGAAAGCTATGAGACAGATTGAGTTCAGCGGGAACTCAATCTAATAATTACTATTAGTAATTGTTAACAGTATATACCAAGCACAGTACTAAATACTTAATGTACATTATCTGCTTTAATCTTCAGAATAGCATCATGAAGTATTTAGTATTACCTCCATTTACAAATAAGGAAAATGGATTCATAGAGGTTAAATGATGTCTCCCAAGTCACAGAACTACTAAGTGATGGAGCCATGATTCCAGTAGAGATCCTGTCTGATTCTAAAACTCCTAACTACAGTACTTTACTGCCTTTCACCATTTTATACTGTTGGTCATAAAAAGGCTTCAACAGAGATTGTCAGGAGGATCACTTAGGGAACATCTGGGTGTATAAGGAATAAACCTACCCAAGTTAGCTCAAAGAATAAGGAAGGGGGCATTGGAAAGTTCCTAGGGAACTTCTTGGAGTATAATTACAGGAACTTCAGTATGGCCAGTATGCGCTAGAAAGTTGTCAGGCGTTTGCAGAGGAGCTACATTTTAAGTAGAGGTCTAGTTCTTCCAATAACAGACTAGATACAGTTCACATAGTAAAAATTACTTTTAAAAAGACCTTAATTTCTCATAAAATACACTAAAACATTGAGTGGTTGGTTTGTTTTTGGTTGACCATTACATAAAATAGTTGGCTTGCATTTGGGGTCATGTTGAATGAAAAATACATGCTTGTATCTTTAAACTGTAGACCTCCCCTCAGTTTGGCAATAGATACCACAAGAGGCACATGGGAACCAAGGCCCACTGAGTCATTTCTCTCTACTCGTGTGCCCACTGTGCTCATGGAGTGTTAAGTGCTCACTGTTTAGTGTTTTCTTCTTCCCCTTTCATTTTGCAAAGTGAATAATGTTTTCCCTCTATCTTTGCCTCTCATTTTAATAGCTATTCATTTTGCAAAATGAAAGGGAAAGGAAAAAACACTTTAATGGTGAAATTCCATTGTATTCTTTTTGTATTTCTGATGAGACTTGACTCTCCCCTCTGCTTCTCTGTAAATCCACTCTAATCTCTTGTTGACAGCTGAAAACTCCAACATCAGCCTTTGAGTCTACCTGACCATCCAGCCCCCTCACTTTCTAAGGCCTGACTCAGTTCTCTGCCACAATTTAGAGAATTTGGCCAAACTTGGATGAGATGTCCACCACAGTCTACTTTGATATGATTGGGGGTAAAGTCACTGCAGAGCGTCTGTTGTGGGGCTCTGAGTAGGCAAGTTACCTAAGAAAGGGGTTTGAGTGGGGGAAATGATTGGTATCTCTACTTCAGAGGCAGATGTTTCATTTCCTTGCTCTTCCGCTATTTGGCACTTAGACCCAAAACAGTTGCTCACCTATTATCGAGTAGGATCTTCATCTGTGAAATGAGAACTTCGGTATATAGGATTCCCTTCAGTTCTGAAGTTCTAGGGAAGTAACATGCAGCCCTCAAATGAAAAGATCCCAATACTAATAAGATGGGTTTTATACCAAAACAGTTAAAAAATTGCTAAGAACTCTAACCTCTTACCTTGAATTGTTTCCCAGATACTTTATTATTACTATTAATAATGTTAATTATTTTCAGTTTTCTTTTCAGACATTCAAGATATTAGTAGTAGTATTTCATGAGTGCATTTTTCTATACTTTTTTGTTTTGTTTTGCAGTTTTTCCCTCTGGATTGAACCATTTTCTTCTCGACCCACTCTAATCTGCCTTCAGACCACACAGTGGGTCAGAGGGAGAGCGTAAACAGTTCTCGCTAATGTTACCCATGACGTTGTGTCATTAAGTTGAGTGGACATTTTTCAGTCCTCCTCTCATGTGGCCTTTTGGCAGCTTTTAGTACCGTTGACTACTTTGTCCTTTTTGAAGTATTCTCCTTCTTAGTTTCTGGTCCTGGTTATCATCCTACTTCACTTGATGTGCTTTCTCCATATTCTTTGCCACATAAGTGAAGTTATTATGGATTGACTGGTGCCTCTTCCTAGAAATCCTCTTGGCTTCAGTGATCTGCAGCCATGCTGTTAGCTATTTGGTTCTGGAACTCACAACAAACTTCAAGTATTTTTCCTCTCTTTATTTCTTAGGTGCTGTGATAAAGAGCATACCTTTATGTGGGAATGATTAAACCAAATCTCTCATATGGGAAAATTGTTGCTCTCATTAATTAAAATTGTCTCACACAACTTGTACAAGCAGTAAATCCGGATGTACTTCCATCATGCACTTTTGATGTAATTACTTAGTTAATAAGTCTTTACCAACAAGCTTATCTTGAATTTCTGGATTGTGCCATAAGTTATTGATTGTTTTATAATTTTTTTAATAAGGCCTCTGCTCTACCTATTTAAAGAAATGTAATGATTATAGCTAATACTATACACCAGTTTTTTTTTTACGTGCCCAATTAAGACATAATGAATGTAAAGGTATAATTCATTGTTGCAGGTTGATTTATGAAAGAACTTCATTTGAGGCCAGCCCCGGTGGCCTCATGGTTAAGTTCAGCACCCTCTGCTTCGGCAGCCCAGGTTTGGTTCCCAGGCACAGGCCTACATCACTCATCAGCAGCCATGCTGTGGTGGCGGCTCACATACAAAAAAAAGAGGAAGATTGACAACAAATGTTAGCTTGGAGTGAATCAGCAAAAAACAAAACAAAAGAAAACTTCATTTGTGGAGCCAGCCCTGATGGCCTAGTGGTCACAGTTTGGCGCTCACCACTTCAGCAACCCAGGTTCACTTCCCACTTGTAGAGCCACACCGCTCATCTGTCAGTTACCATGCTCTGGCAATGGCTCACATAGAAGAACTAGAATGACTTACAACTAGGATATACAACCAAGCCCTGGGCCTTTGGGGAGGAAAAAAAAAGAGAAGATTGGCAATACATGTTAGCTCAGAGGGAATCTTTCCCTGCAAAAAAAAAAAAAAAAAAATAATATATATATATATATATATATATATATATATGTAAAAATAAAAACAAAAATTTTAAAACTTCACCTGTAAGTTTATAAACATGAGATAAAGGAATGAGCCGTTCTAGAGCATGGTAAATACTTCTTTAAGGAGAAAAACAAATATATCCATAAATAAGAGATGTTAAGTAAAACCTTTATTTTGTTCTTCATCTGACAGGTAGTTGTGTCCAAAATGATTTACAAAGGTGATTACTATATATAAAAAAACACCTGTCAGATGTTTGGGAAGTTGGGACTTTTTCTTCTCTCATATGAAGAAAAAATTTCACCAGTTGATACATACTGAGTTCTTTTATGTGGAATGATTATTAGAATTTAGTGTTTTGTGATAAAAACTAAAAAAAATGTTTAAACTCAAGAGGTTTTTAAGTGCGTGCATTCTATTTTGCCCAAATACATGTGAGTTTCCCAAACTGTATGCAAAAATTCACGTATCTTCTATATGGTACCAAGAATATGCATTATATAAAATTAAAATAACCACAGATTTTTCTGTGTGAAATTTTTGTAAAAGTAATTGAAATAAAGTTAGCATATAAAATATTAAACCTTCAGACATTACCAGAGTAATATAAGTTCCTGAATAATTTGCTGCCTAATACAAATTATGATATAATTGCATGTATCAGTGTAACATAGTCAGTGCTTATGAAATGCACATTGAATAATACCTTTCCAAGAATTTGGTTTATTTTTAATTACAAGTATAGAATACAGTGCCAGATAACTGATCGTCCAGCATTTTCTGACATACATAAAAGATACACTATTTGTCATTGAACCTGCCTTAGAAGATTGAAAAATAAGAAAGCAGTTGTGGACCAAAACTTGTGCATGTTTATCATCAAACATAGTTCCTTCTCAGAGTCTTATAGTTACTTCCTTGTAGAGAATGTCCCTGTTTTTTTGCTAGTTGCTTTTAGGATTTTCTCCTTATCTTCTGTTTTTGGCTGTTTTACTGTGCTGTGCCTACATGTGGTTTTCTTATATTCATACTACTTGGGTGTTCCAGGAGTTCTTGAATCTGTGCTTTCATGTCTTTAATTTTGGAAAATTTCAGGCAATTATCTCTTCATTTTTTCTTTTCTTCCTTATTCTTTTTGCCATCTCTCTTCTGGGACTCCAGTTACATGGATAATAGACCATTTTACTATGTCTCATAGGTCTCTTATGCTCTTTTCCTCTCTGTGCTTCATTGTAGATATTTTCTGCTGACTAATTCTATCTCCCATTTCACCAGCCCTCTTTGGCTATGGCTAATCTGCTGTTAAATACATCTTCGTTTTAGTTATTTTATTACTTAATTTTGCATTTTTAATTTGATTCATTTTATAGTTTCAGTTATTTTCTGGGTTTTTCATTTGTTTTCTATCTTAAAAAAATTTTTAAACAGCTATTTTAACCTCTGTCAGTTAACTCCAACTTCTGCATCTCTTGTCAATCTGCTGCTGTTTGTCCAGGTTTGGTATTTTTTGTTTTTGTTTTTTTTTTTTTTGGTGTTTTGTCTTTTGGCATGCTTTGTAATTTTTGATGGCATACTGGACATTGAAATATGAAATATTTTAGAGATAATTTGAGGCTCTGGGTGGTATTTTTTTCTTCCTCCAGAGAAGGTTTACTTTTGCCTTTGGCATGTGGCTAGACTAGAGGCCGATCACCTAATCCAGTTAGGGATTTGGCTGATTCCAGGCTAGGTTTCAGTCTTTTTGTTTTTGTGTGTGTGTGTGTGTGTGAGGAAGATTGGCCCTGAGCTAACATCTGTGCCAGTCTTCCTCTGTTTTGTGTGTGGGATGCCTCCACAGCATGGCTGATGAGTGGAGTAGGTCTGTGCTTGTGATCTGAACCCAAAGCACAGTGCAAAAGCTGGGCTGCCAAAGCAGAGTGCACAGAACTTTAACCACTCAGCCATGGGGCCAGGCCCAGTGTGAGTCTTTGTAAAGGTTGGTCTCTGGGCTTCACCCTCCTCAGGCATGGTCCTTCAGAGATTCCAACAGAAAGCCTGGGTGTTTACCAGGGCCAGTCTACCTTCAAGGGCCCTGGACTTCAGTTTTTATCTGCCCAGCATCATGAGGCTGTGGAATGCTTTGATTAAACTTCTCAAGCCTCTCAGACAACTGCTGAAGTTACAGAGTCCCTTTCAACAAGCTTCTTGAGATGCCCCATCAGCAACTTCTCTTTACATCTCATTGCCCAGAACTGTATCATATGGCTATCCTTAGCCACTATCCATGTCATCAGGGAGACTAGGAAAAGTTTTGCTGTACTTTTAACTGCTCTCTCCAAAAAAACCCCAAAAAACTTGGTATGCTACAATCCAAATCTATAAAATGACAGATGTAGGTAAAATGACTTTTGTACGAATGTAGTCAAGAATACAAAATCATTTTGCTAAAATGTTCACAGATTTGGGTTTCTAACACTGAAGAGCAGCTTTAAATAATTTTTAAAACTTTTGTTCATTTTTCTTTGCTAAAAAGCAGCACACTTTGGTAGTAGAAACTTCAAAAATCTAGATGAGCAGAAAGAAAAAAATCTGAAACCCTACCAACCAAAGATAACTTCTATCAATGTTTTGGTAGATGGCCTTGTAGTAATTATATATATAGTGTCTCTTTATTTTACTTTTAGAAATTAACATATTATACACCCTATTTTGTAACTTGTTTCTTGTTTCTTTATCATGTACATATTTCCATGTTAAAGTATACAGTAAGGTAGGGTTTTACGGTTTAGAAATTATAATTTTCTTAATTTAACTCATAATGCTTTTTAATTTTAGTGTTCCACCCTAATAGTATGTATCTCATGTCTACCTGTTCCATCCTCATTCTTTTCTTGATCAAGTTAATAGACAGTTATGTTACTGTTGATTAATACCAAAGGAATACTCTGTTTAACAGCTAGTGGGAGTAATGAGCATGTTAGGTAGGCTCTGACTCAATGATAATGATTCTTAGTAGAATCCCATTAAATATCTTTTTATTTCTAGGCTCGACTTGATACATGCTATGATTTTTAGTTGTGAATGAAATTATACTTTTTTTCTACTCTATTTTAACAGTTATTGTTTTAGAAATAGAGTAGATCCTAGACATTTCCTGGGAGACCGTTGGGAGTGCCTTGTTAGCATACAATTTCTACTATAAAATGCATACGTGTTAAAATAGTAAAACTGCTTTCAGATGCAAATGTTGGTGCAGTTATCTAGGCTCACTCACTAGCCAAGTGGCACACACATGCTGGCATGATAGCAAACATTCAATATTCTAGTTGAGTCATATTACAAATTACTACATATCATGGACCTTCAGGGGCACTCTTGCATAACAGGGGTTGTGAATATTAAATGCAGGACTAACAAAAGACCTATTTTATAAATTATATATGATTTTATAAATATTTGTGCCTGGATTTTTAGTGGAAGATTTGCTTAATTTAGTTCCAGTTCCACCTAACTGCTAATTTTACTACTACTGATGCCTGTTTCTTTAGAGCTTAGCTTTCTCCTGCAGACTTTGTGTTGAGATCCATCAATGTTTATTGCTTATCAGTTACTATGCATCTAACCCTGAGCTTTGTAGTTAGTGGACCTCAGATTCACTTGTATAACAAATCCCCAATAAAATAGTGAGACTCGTTCAGGTTAGATTTCTGTGAAATAATGTTTGAAAGGAAGTCGTTCCAAAGAGGAGCAGTGACTATATAATGAACTTTCCTGCCTCTGATGAAATTACTGGTGTCATCATTCCCTAGACATCACACCTCTGAAATCAACACTTGACACTCTGGCAGCTGGGTGGAGGTGATCCAGCACTGATTCTTAACTGGTTTAAAATGGTCATACCTGGTTTAGAATTGCTTGTCGCCATTGCAAGGGTAGAAATATCAAACTCTAGATTATATTTTTCCGAAGGCTTTGTTTCCTGAGAAGTTTGTAGTTTGCTTTAAACTTATACTACTGAATTTTTTTAAAAATCCATTTATTAATGGCTGTTTAAGAAATACTCTGATTTTCAGTATCCTATTTCATTTTATTTTATTTTTTTGTATGTGTGAGGAAGATTTGCCCTGACCTAACATCTGTGCCAGACTCCCCCTCTTTTTTGTATGTAGGATGCCTCCACAGCATGGCTGTTGAGCGGAGTAGGTCCACACCCAGGATCTGAACCGGTGAACCCCAGGCTGCTCAAGTGGAGCCTGTGGAACTTTAACCACTCCGCTGTGGGGCTGGTCCCCAGTATCCCATTTCTTTATCAATGCTCTTAGCAATATATTGTTATCTTTTGTTTATTGTCTCCCCAACTAGATTATCATTATAAGCAGGGACTGTGTCTTATACCTCTGTGGATTCCTACCCACTCCCACAGTGCCTTCTAAGATATAGTAGATATTCCATTCCATAATCTTTATTATTTGAGAAAAGTGTTGATAACTTGAATCTTACTAGCTTTAATTTAGTTTTAGTTTTATTGTTTTAGAATTCTGTGATTTCTCTGTTAATGATGGTTTATCTTTTCTGGAAAAAACTTTCTACATTTTATAATTTACTTTTATTTCAAAATTTCCTAAAACATAAATCTTATCTTTCTTTTTAATCCATGATAATTAAGATACATAAATATTTGTTGAACTTGGCATAAAATTCTTAGATTTGAATACCATGTTTGATATAAACATTTAACTGCTTCTTATCTTTCAGAATTTTGATCTACATTGTTGGTTGTTAGTCTTTTTACAAGTACTTAGTGTAGGCAAAGCCATGTGCTAGGGATCACCAATATTTAGTTAGTGGATAACTAAATATTGTGGTTAACCTTTTAAAAAGTACATACCTTTAATTAATATTTTGTAGTAAAACAGACTACTCAGTTTTTAATTTTTTTTTGTCATTATAGGGTAAAGTTCACCTTGAATTAAAACTGAATGAACTGATAACAGAGAATGGAACTGTTTGCCAGCAGCTTGTTGTACAGTAAGCATATTTCTCTTACCAAAATCAACTAGAAATAATTCTCCATTTTATATTCTTTGACTCTTAAGCCAACTCCTTGTTTTAAATACTTCAGAAACCTTTTTCAGAAATGGAACTCTGCCATGCTGTTCCTTTGTTAAATTGATTTCCAATTTGTTTTCTTGTATCTTGTCTCCTCAGGTTATGATGAGTCATTAATTCATTCAACAAGCATTTATTGAATGTGGGTTAAATGATAGACATAGGCAATAGGGTGTTATAGGATCACAGACAAGCGTGTCTACCTATGTGGCAGAAGGGAGTTGGAAAGGCTTCCTAGTGTGGAGAGCCTCTGGAAACTCTGATACCACAGAGCAGAGCAGTAGTGACCTTGGGACTAAAACTAAATGCCTACCTTGAGATTACCGATATTGATTCTCACTTACTTTGAATTCCTTTTACTTCTCTTGCCCTAAGTCATTTTTTATCACCCAGACTCTAATCTTCTAACTGCTCTGGAAATCTGTTCTGGCACAATCTCCTACCTCTTCCCTCCCACACAAAACCCTTCCTCTGTGTAATCAACAAACAACTGGATGTCCTATCTTCTTTGGAATGTTTTCTCTATCTTTATCTTAACTGATATCTGATTATCCCCTAAGGTACTGTTTCCTCTACTGCCTTCTCAATCAGAGGCTGTTTTCTACCATACCCACATACCTTCAAGCCAGGGAGTAGGGTAGATGTTACACTTCTGTTGCTGCTCAGACTGTAATTTATTCTTCTAATTATGGACACTCCAGGTCCTTTGAGACATTCTGTTTCTATATAAATATGTATATATTTACTATATGTAATATTATTTGCTTAATTTTTTCTGAACTCTTTTTAAAGAAGGTTGCATATTTCATGACCCTTAATATATCAGTGTCTGTTTCCTTTAACATTATTATAATAAAAGTATAATCTATAGTTATTTTTCAATACTTTAATCAACAGCTATTATATTTTACTTTTGTCAATTGTCCTAATAATGTCCTTTAAAATATTTTTTTCTCTCCAAGAAAGGATTCAGTCCAAGATCATGTATTACATTTAGTTGTCTTGTCTCTTTAATTTCCTTAACCTATAATAGTTTTTAGCTTTTCTTTGTCCTTCATGGTATTGAGATCTTTGCAGAATACAGGCGAGTTATTTTTTTGATGTTCCTCAGTTTGGATTTACCTACTAAAAATAGTTCAAGATTTATTTGCAGCTTTTTCCCCCCAGACTGAAAACATACGGTGAAAATACTTGGATTAGTTCTCTTCCACTATTCTCTCCCCTGCTTAGTTTGGTTATGATATACCTTTGAAGTACAATTAGTTGGATTGGTTTGGTTTGTTTCCATTCACTTTAATGTTGTTTTCCCCCATCCTTGTTGGTTTACTTCTATTTTTTGAATATGTAGAATATTAACATGATTTTAAAAGTCAAAACTATACCAAAGGGCATTACTCAGAGATGTGTTCAATCTCCTCTCCCTACACCCAGCTCCAGGCATCTGTGATCTGATTTCTGTCCCTATAGTTTTGCCTTTTCCAAAATGCCATATGAACAGAGTCATGTAATATGTAGTCTTTTGTGTCTGGCTTCTTTCACTTAGCGTGATGTTTTTGAGATTCATCCATATCGTTGCATATATCAATAGTTCATCCTTTTTTAGGTATTATTTCATTTATTTCTTGTCATAACCATTGTCCTTATAGTATGTGACCTTTTGAGATCAGCTTTTTTCAATCAAATCCACCCAATTGTTGTGTATAGTTTCCTGTAGACAGAATATAATTGGGGCACTTTTTTAATCTACTCTGCCAATCTCTGTCTTTTATTTAGTGAATTTATATCATTTACTTTTAATGTAATTATTGACATTTTTGGGTTAAATCTGCCATTTTATTTTTTGTTGTCTAGTCCTTCTATTTTCTCTTTTTCCTGTGGGTATAATTTTTTTAGTGGTTGTACTGTACACGTATAACTTATTGTAATTTATGGGTGTTGACATTTTACCAGTTAAATAAAGTATGGAAACCTTATCTTTTAAATCTCTTTACCCTCCACCATTTGTAATATAATTATCTTAAATATTTCCTCTACATACATTGAGAACCACATCAAACAGTGTTAATAATTTTTGCTTCAGCCATCTAACACAACTTAGGTTAGAAAATAAGGCAAGTCTAAGTCTATTGTATTTACCCATTATTTTGCTCTTTCTGTGTTCTTTTTTCCTTCTTATTGTTTCAGGATTTCTTCTTTTATCACTATCTTCATGTTTAGAGAATTTCCTCTTACCATTCTTTTAGGATAGGTCTACTGGTGATGCATTCTCTTAGTTTTCCTTCATCTGAGAATGTCTTGATTTCGTGCTTCATTTCTGAAGGATATTTTCACTGGATATAGAATTCTTGGTTAACAGTTCTTTTTACTCAGCATATGAAAAATGTACCACTTCCTTTGGCCTCCATGGTTTTTGGTGAGAAATCCACTGTCATTCAAACTGTTTTTCCCATGTAGGCAATGTACTGTTTCCCCCTGGCTGGTTTCAAGATTTTTTCTTTGTCTTTAGTCTTCTGTCTGTTTTAGTTTGACCCATGATGTATCTTGGCGTAGATTTCTTTGGTTTATCCTGTTTGGTGTTTGCTCAGCTTCTTGAGTCTGTATGTTTATGTCTTGTCAAATCTGGGAAATTTTCAGCTATTATTTTTCTAATACTTTATCAGCCCTGCCATCTTTCTCCTCTCCTTCTGGGACTCCAATGGCATGAATGTTAGATCTTTTGGTATAGTCTCTGAGGCTCTGCTCTTTTTTATTCCAGTCTATTTTCCCTCTGTTGTTCATACTGGGTAATTTCTATTCTATCTTTAAGCTCACTTATTCTTTCCTTTGTCCTCTCCATTCTGCTATGGAGCCCATCTATTAGGTTTTTTATTTTGGTTACTGTATTTTTAAGTTCTGAAGTTTCCATTTGGTTCTTCTTTATATCTTTTATTTCTTTGGTGAGACTTTCTATTTTTTTGGTGAAACTTTCTTTTTTTTTTTCCCACTTATTTCAAATGTGTTCATAAGTGCTCATTAGATCTTTTTTTTTTAATGATTGGCACCTGAGCTAACAACCGTTGCCAATCTTCTTTTTTCTTCCCCCCTGCCTTTCCTCCCCCAATCCCGCCCATACATAGTTGTATATTTTTAGTTGTGGGTCCTCCTAGTTGTGGCGTGTGGGACACCGCCTCAACGTGGCCTGACAAGAGGTGCCATGTCCACACCCAGGATCTGAACCAGTGATACCCTGGACTGCTGAAGGCGGAGCACACGAACTTAACCCCTCGGCCATGGGGTCGGCCCCTGAATCATTTTTAAGATGGCTGCTTTCACATCCTTATAGGATAATTCCAACATCCACATCATCTCAGTGTTGGCATCTGCTGATTGTCTTTTCTCATCTAAGTTGAATATTGTCTGTTTTTCTTAGTGTGATAAGTTGTTTTCAATTGTATCCTAAACTTTTTGGGTATTATGTTGTGAGACTCTGGATCTTGTTTAAATCTTCTGTTTTAGCTAGACTTCTCTGACATTTGCTGCTGGGAGAAGAGGAGTGCCTATTTATTACTGTCAGGTAGAGGTAGAATCCAGATTCCTGACTTAACTTCTGTTGACATCCTTTGGGGAGGAGTAAGAAGAGTTCCTTGTTACTGCTGAATAAGAATGGGAGTTCTGATTCCCCACTGGTCCTCTCCTGTGACCATTCTAGCTGGGATGAGGGAGGAGTGCCTCATTACTGCTCCATGTGGCCTCAACTGACACAATGGTTGGGAGGAGTTAGTTACCTCTGGAAGGTGATGAAGTCTTGCCTTCCTACTCAGCCTTCTCTGACACCACTCTGGTGTGGAGAAGGAGGAGAGCCTCATTGCTGCTAGGTGGGGATGGAAATCCAGGCTCTCCATGTGGTCTCTACTGACACCTTGGGGGGAAGGGGCTCATTACAGTCTGTCAAAGGTGGACTTCAAGGCTCTCTCCTTGACCTTTGGCCTTTGTTGATGGGGGCGAGGGTGGAGCCATGGTGTTTTTCATGGTGTTTGATTGGAATAGTTGGTTATTGTCTAAAAAGGGTTTCTGTCTTGCTAAGCTGCCCATTTTCTGGTCCTTTGGCTAGAGAGAGCTGTTTTTTTCTTAGGGCATTTTTTGTCTATGACCATTGGTGTTTCCAGGTTGATGGCTTCTCTAGCACCCAGTCTGGGATATATAAAGTAAAAAGAAAGCCCAGGGAATTCACTGCCGTCTTTCTTTGGGTCCCAGGGTCTGTAATTGGTTTGCCTTCTGTTTACCTTTCAGAGTTTTCTTATGTTTATTATGTATATAATGTCCAGGATTTTTAGCTATACTTAGTGGGAGGAATAGGGAGGCATGCATCTACTTCATCTTGTCCTATAACTGGAAACCAGTTCATTTCTTTATTTTATTTATTTATTTATTTATTTAGAGGAAGATTATCCCTGAGCTAACATCTGCCACCAATCCTCCGTTTTTGCTGAGGAAGATTGGCCCTGAGTTATGTCCGTCTTCCTCTACTTTATATGTAAGGTGTCTGCCACAGCATGGCTCGATGTTGTTCCGGTTGAGGCTATTACAAAGGAAGCTGCTATAGATGTTCACAAACAGGTCTTTATGTGGACATAACGTTAGTCTATATTCTTTTTTTCTTTCTCTTCTTTTCGCTTAAAACTCCGCTGTCCATACTCACTGACTTGCAGCAACAGAGCTTCTGTAGTGGCTTTGTGGAATTTATTGTGGATTTCTCAACTTTGGAGATATTTTGGAGTTTGTAGTATTCTGTTTTGTAGTAATGCTGAAGGCATGGTTTCATGTTTTGTTTTCTTTGTTATCCTTGCTGAACTTACACTTTTGGGGGGTAATGTCTGGAAAGGTTCATATCCAGTTGCTGTTATCCTTCAGACCTGGAAGCTTCCTACTGCAACACTTCT